TAACCAGAGTGAATTATTAGACACCCTGAATGTTTTTTCAACCTTTAAGAAAAGTTATATTGCATATAATTGCAAAAGCATGTTTTTCCACATATAAATAATCTGAAAGTAAACGGGAGAGCGAGACGTCTGCTAAAGTTAAAGACCAAGAATTAAAAACATTGCGGAGTTACTTTTACATCTGCTCTGAGGCTGAACTTTAAAAATGACTCCCTGCCAGTATCAAATGTTCAGTATTATCAACAGTCAAGCTTCCACAATTCTCACTGAGCTGTTGCCAAGCTAAAAAAGACCACTTTTTCATAACCATCTGTTTGAATAGACACCAAAGTCCAGATTGTGTGGTTCAGGGTATGGTTGAAAAAGGAAAAAGCAACAAGACTGAAAAAAGTGCTTTCGAACACCACATATAATCATGACAACTATAACACTTAAGCTTCGAAAAAGTCCCACACAAGGGCAAACTTCTGACTAGGACACAATACCTCATCAAATAGCAGGACATCCAAGTGATAAAACATATTTCCAACATCTCCGGCTCAAAAGAGCATCTGGTGGACTGCGGTCACCCCTTCTTGAACGGACCTCTGATCACTGTTAGTCTGTATAAAACATGTTTTCCATATGCGTGAGTTTCACCCAAACACATCTACATATAAACTGAGAAAATACCTCCCATTTCTTATGATACTAACGTCAAAAGCCATGCGTCAAACTCACTCGGCAGAAGCTATGTCAACGTCAACATGGATAGGTTACGTGATATCCTTCTCATCCTTAAAAACCATTACAGTTCAAGGAATAAACGATTTAAATACATTAAACATGGTGTCAACCATCATATATGATTTCCCATTCATTCAACATGTATGAATGTCACAATGCAAAATAAATAGTTAAATAAATAACTAAATAAATTAAACATTAATTTGTTTTGCATATTGTTGGGTTCGTGTAATATTAATACATTTCAAAGTTTACTTGTACAATAAACAATTTTGGTACAGCTCTGGGTTGCAACTTCACCCAAAAATGAAAATTCTGTCATTAATTACTCACCCTCGTGTTGTTCGAAACCCGTAAGACCTTCGTTCATCTTCGGAACACAATTTAAGATATTTTTGATGAAATCCCGATAAAAGGAGGAGAAAAACACTACTAATGGCTTTTTTGACAGCATCAAAGATAAAACTAATCACTTGGGGGATAAGGCTAATTTAAGGAAGCTTTTCTTTAAATTAGTGTTTGTTGTTGGGCAAAACAGATGGAAGGTAGATGAAATGCTTAACAAGCTCTTAGGAGCTGAAAGCTTGAGTTTTGTGCTCACTCACCTCGTGTTCACAAGCAAGAAATATAACACAGGCAGACAGGAGCGCACCCATCTCATCCCGAGGTATTTATTGCACCTAACAGCCACCTTCTCATCTCTCAAGGATGTAATCATTCTTTGTGTTTCTTTTCCCTTGAGCTGTTATACTGTACGGTTCTAGACAGAGTCTGTCAGATTATCAGAGAGACATATGACATCTTGTGGCAGGATGAGGAAGTGCAGAACACAAATTAGAGAATTAGAGGACAGGGTTTTGGTGCTACAATGCTGTAGAGCAGTTTTTTTTATTATTATTATTATTTTTTTATAATAAATTTTAAATTGGATAATAACTAGAAAATACGTTTGTATAGGAATACATATTTTCCATGACTTTCCCAGGGCTGGATTTCACAAAATTTTTAAAAAAAAAACGAATATAGTTATAACCGTATACATGAATATAAACCTTATACATTCAAAAGTTTAGGGTCGATAAGATGTTTTTTTTTTTTTAAGAAGGTAAAACCAGTAATATTGTGAAATATTATTACAATTTAAAATAACTGCTTTCTATTTTAATTTATTTTAATATATAATTTATTCCTGTGATGCAAAGCTGAATTTTCAGCATCATTACTCCAGTCTTCAATGTGACAATGCTTCAGAAATCATTCTAATATGCTGATTTGCTGCTCAAGAAACATTTCTTATTAACAATGTAGAAAAAAAAGTTGTGCTGCATAATATTTGTGGAAAATGTGATATATATTTTTACAATTTTTAATACAAAGTTCAAAAGAATAGAATTTGTTTTCAAAATTTAAAATTCAAAAATCTTTTGTAAGATTATAAATCTTATCTTTACTGACACTTCTGATCAAATTAATGCATCCTTGCTCACCAAAAGCATTATTTTCTCTCAAAATGTATATCAAAAACTAAAAACTAAATCCAAACTCAAAACAAGCTAAGAATATAACCATGCAGATGAAACAAGCGAGTAAAATGTTACAATATAAATCACAGATTTAAAGTTGATTTAACACTATATACTAAACAAACACAATATTATGATTCACTTCATGATCCAGACATCTAGAATATCATAACATCAAATCCCAGTTGATTCCTGAATGAAAGATTAACACCCATAACACAATTAGGGTTGGGTACCGAACTCGGTACTTTTAAGGGTACCGACCGAATTGCGTCAGTACTTCCGAGTACCGATTCACGTTAAATCAATCGGTGCTAAATTTCGGAACCTGAGAACACATCTGGGCGCATACGCTACAGCGAGAGAAAGAGACCCTGTGACGTGAGGTCACCCCTGCAACTCGTTCAAACAACACACAGGTTCAGAAAAATTAAAACAAGAATTTCTGAGGGGTAAAAAAAAATTGTTCAAAATGTTGAAATTGAGACTTTTGGACTTATTTTTTCATTGAAATAAATGTTTTTGTAATTACACAGAGAGTAAAGTACCGAAAAAAGGTACCGTTGGGTACTGGCACTGAAATTCAGGTACCGATACCGGTACCGTACCGGTTAAAATGTGAACGGTACCCAACCCTAAACACAATACAATCTAAAAATAAACAACCTATGACCGGTCCTTATTGTAGTAAGTTCACACTAGTCGAAATACCCATCAGATCCACTGTATTTGAGATGGTTGCTAATTAATCTCCAAAGTTCATGTGGAAGCATCCCATGACTGCCATCCGATGACTTATCCGCAATCTAATGAGTCCACGCTGGCAAAGCTGCAAGAACGAACTTGCTTATCGCGCCAGGGGTGGTAATGCCAGCTCTCAGCAATTCACAGCATTACAGCTCAATATGGCAACATGGCCGCATGATAGGTTTTAACAAGCCACTCCTCCACAACAACCTCTTTTGCGGCCCAGCTAAAAGCCTTTCTGAAGCAGAGATGTGAGATGAATGTGATAAAACACGTTCCCAGCTGCTGCACGGATGTGTCAGCGTGTTTCGCCGCAGAGTAGGTGCGATAGTACTTTCTGACCTTAGCGGCCCCTGAGCCTTCCCAGCATCCCTCTCCATCTGCCGGGTGGCCACAGGAGAGGCCTGACCTGGCTGGTGCTGCAGTTAGAGGGGAGGCGGTGAGGGAGTGCAACCAGAGGGCACTGCTCTGATGCTGGGAGAAGTTCTGCAGCGTTATAGTCGCAACACCTGCATCAATCCTGGCTTCACTCTTGTGCAGATCAATAGCGGAGGGACTATATTTGTATGACTTAAAATTCTAAACCCCAAAATCAATGTGAGATGTATTGTTCTCTTGGCCTGTTTTCACCAAGCACAAAACTATGATAAAAAACTAAAATATTAAAATATAAAAAGACCAATTAATTTTTATGACTTCCCACAAACTTCCAAAACAGAAACTGCACTCAAAAGGAGTCATTTTCTAATCTGAGAAATAATTTCTCACAGATCAGCGTGTATACAACATAATTGTACATGAACTTTTAAGATTTTATTAATTACTATGACTTTCCCAGGCCTAGAAATCATACTTTGGAAGGTTTTCAAGGACCATGGGAACCATTTAGGGTATTACGGAAGGTTGCTTATTAAAGTCAAAAGGATTTTTTTCTGAATTTGAGTAATTCAAAGTCCAATCACTTGAGAAAGTAATAGCTAAACTTTGGATGGAAAAATCTCAAACCTTTCAACTATGGGTTAGTAGTATAACATATATTAAAATTCAATTTAGAGCTCAGGAACTGCATATTAGCGATTTTTGTAAACTGAAATTTGAGCTCCAAAATAATAAAAAGATCTAAAAATATATTTTTACATAGTATTTGGTTTGCATTTAAGCTACATAAATAAAACTTCTCAAAATACTGTATTGATGATCTCATGTCAGGAATTAATTTTTTTGTAACATTTTTCACCGTAATATCTTAAGGGGAAAATAGTAATGTTAAAATTATTTTACATATCCTAATATAATCTTATCTTCTGGTTTGCATCCGTCAATTTCCCCTCACAATACCGCAATGATACAGTAATTAAAGAAAGTAATTAAGTCAAAAAAATATACAAAGAATTTCACATTAATATTTTCACATTCATAGAATAATGTAAACCGGTTTTCAGATTCTGACTAAAGATTGTGTAGATAGAATTGTTTTCTGTGGAATAACATGCACATAGTTCACCAGCAGACTAGTAATGTACGTGTTATTTTAACATATATTAAAATGATCTAATCGTTTAATTTACATTCATTAAGTTCCAAAAGTAAACAAATAAACCTATTCAGATGAAATAAGAACATTTAATATGCAAAGTATTTAAATAGCCTCAATCAGCTGACATGTCTTCGGTCGCTCAGTTATGTCATACCACACAATTCTACTCTCACTTATCTATTATAGCCAATGTTTTAAGTGGCATAGAGGCTACAGACTTCTATGACCCCTTATGACCCCTTATTCGCTGAGCGGCCATGAACCAGTGGCACAATCACACTGTCCCTCGTGAAAACTCCTTTCACAGGCAGAGCTGTTAACAGAAGTGTTGGACCACGCAGGGCTCGTTTCAGCACACCCGAGTCAAAATACAGCTTGTTCGATCACCTGCAAATAGTCTAGCCTAAAAGCTGCCGCACAAAGAGCAGAGACCTTGACAATCTCTGTTGTGTTCTGCATGTACTCACTGCTGCAGTGCTTGTCCACTCCATCCCCCTGAGAACTGCTTAATCCCACCTCCTCTCCCACAGGTTTCCTGGTCGCCACAGCGCTCGGAGTGACGGGTGGCTGCGGTGTGGTCTGAGAGGCTGGGAGAATAAGAAAACATAAGTTATTGCAGAGACAAGGACTGAACTGAACAAATATCTGACACATCTGACAATATGCTTTGCTAAGAAGGACAGAAAACAAATCTGCAGCTTTTTTTCTTCCTTGAAATGTTCTTCCTTTCAAGAATAGTGTTTTATTTGTAGTGTTTTTTTATCATTTTAATTAAATTATTTAATTTTTAATTAAATATAATTATTTTTTAATAATCATTACATTTTATATTTTGCAAAATTTATTTATAGTACTACTTTTTTTCTCAGACAGTATAAATGACTCCTTATACATGAAAATATATGACCTCTTCAGAGATTTCAGAAAGATGGTCGCTCACAAGGGGATCATCATCATCATCATATTCTACAAAATCATCTTCTTGCCTGCCAAATGCTAAAATGAAAAAAATCCCAGAGGCTTACATTGAAGGAGGGATTCAAGCCAGGACTAGAAAATCATAAAGACTTGGTAGTGGGCTTTATCACACAGTTGAGAACTTCTTAAAGATCCCAATAAATCAGGTTTTGTGGCTGTTATAGCATGTCTGTTGTTATGCTAGTACTCGTAAAGCAAGACAAAATTCACTTCAGCTAATAATGTTATGGCCTCGGGGAAAACGGAACGAAAATATTGATGACTCATCCTGCACTCACTCATTTTGTCCAATCGAATGCACTCTAGATTAATCATTTCCCCGCCCTTGATACCACCTAGGTCTAACTAGCAATGTTAAATAGTAAATCATGCTGGAAAAAAAGGAAAGAAAAGAAAGGAAATAAGGGACAAGCCAAGTCCTAATTTTGTTTTAACAGACAATAAAGCAACAAAAGTAGAAAAAAAATGTCCTCATCAAGCCATTTTATGGTGGTCTTTAATTCAGATGCAGCCCTGCTTCAAACGTACACACCACAATACCGATAGCCATAACTTCTCCACTGCACCATATAAAATATTCAGCAGCACTTCTCTAGAGCAGGTCATTTTTTACCCCACCGTATTCGTTCAACTGAACCAACGCAAAATGAAAAGGAACCGAGGGGTGGCCCAGAAGGGGGCCGTGGGAGATTTTCATTACAGCAGACACAAAATGAACGAATTACAGGAATCTGAGGTAAATCATTCTGAGAGAAAAGCCCCCTGGTGATTAAAGGGTGGTGGAGGGGCTGGTCGCCAAGACTCTCGCAACAGCCTTTAATGTGAACTCTCTTTTTTTCCTGGAATTTTTTTTATTCTTTTTCATTTAAAAGTGAACGGAGAAACATTATGTGCCTTTGAGGATTAAAGCCCTAATACTAATGTTAGTGCTTATGGGTGTTAAACAAGGTGCCGGCATGCATGCTAAAATCTAGGGCTGAATCCCTATTTGTATACTATTCTAAATGATACCCATAGGTCTCTAAAGGATTTATAAATTAATTATTTATATGCATGTATTTCCTTATTTGCATGCATATAATAAATAATATACAAAATAATAATAATGTACATAAATACATCTAAACATACAGTAAATGTATTTATTTATACATATATATATATATATATATATATATATATATATATATATATATATATATATATAGACAGATAGACAGACAGGCAGACAAGCCATCGAGAAAGTAAAATTACATTTTAAATGTTAATTTAGAAAAAAAGGATAAATAAATGAATTTATTTATATGATAACTTAACTTATTTATAATAGAAATATACATTTATTATAATATATTATAATAAATCATTTATTATGTATTTATTGTTAAAAATAAATAGATTTTTCTAAATGGCTTAATAAAATAGCTGTCATATTAATAGGGCCTAATGAAATCCATTTTATTTTTTTCCGAATTCCGTTTTATTTTTTTCCAAATTCTGTTTTAATTTCTCTGGATTCCGTTTTTTCCTTTCTTTTTTTTCCCAAGACTGTTTTAATGGTTAAATTTAAAAATATGAATCAAAAAGCAAGTATAATTAATTGAAATCATGAAACCACAATGTAACAGCAATGTATAAAAATGAACACTAAATTAACAATTAAAAATGTTAAGGCCCTGTGAAAATACGTTTGTCACAGTTTTATTTTAATTCTTTTTTATTTTATTTCTCATTAAATTTGAATAATCAAAAGCATCTCTAACTAATTGATTGTAGTAGTAGTAGTAATATCATTACATTAAGTAATATATTTCTGTCACAGTTTCTTCAAATTAAACCAAACTTTTATTTTGATGGGTTGATGTGAAGACCTTTTTTTCTCAAAAGAAACGGCAAAATGCTCATGAAATGACTCTTAGAGCTGTTCTAGAGATCATGTAGTCATATATGCATGTGGTCATATATTACATATACATCACGGAAATCATAGGGCCCTATATTAATCCAAACAATTGGTTACATATGTACGATACCGATACCGTTTCTGTGTTTCAAATGACTCGTTCCCTATAAAGTGAATGCCACAGAGCACTACATAGGGAATAAGGAGAGGTTTCAGAACAAACTAAATAAATCAACAATAAGTGGTCTAAAACGGGAGCATTAAAAACAATAAGCAACTGCAAGTATTCACGTGTACATGTGTTTTGAGCAACAGGGTTTGTTTGTGGCAGTTTTCTGATGTGGTACACAACATCAGTCTAGCTCAAAGAAACCCTGGGCTAAGGACAGCCTGAAGTGCTGGGTCACCTCTCTTCCTGCAGGACTCCTTGATCTCCTCGCACATGCGGTCAAACTCGGGGTCCAGTTCAGAGGCGATCATGGCGTGCGCAGTATCCTTCAGACTGCAGGCCCTGTGACGGATGATTTTATCTGTGAGGAAGCACAACGGAAGGCCACAGTCAATGAAAAATTAATTTGGGTAGATGAAGGAGGAGCCACGTTCTTGAAGACTGACAGTATGATTTCTGGATATTAGGGCTGCAATTAATCGCAAAAAACAAGTTTCGTAATTATTCCAAATTTGAATAGCAGTTGTTTTAAAGTATATTCTATTTACGGAAAAGAATAATTGTGATTGCATTATGAACAGAAAATGACATTAGATATTTTCGTATACATTACAAGTAATGCGTTATTTCACAAGTTACTTCATAAAAGTAATCGGATTACATAACTTGCATTACTTGTAATGCATTACCCCAACACTGGCAGCAACCACCAATAGGAGCAAAAAAGTTAATGTACATAATGAACCTAAATGGCAACATTATAGAGAACAATTTAAAAAAATAATAATAATTGAATAAAAAATAAGCAATAAATAAAGATGGAATGAACAAGAACAAGAAAAGAGGCGCAACAAATCAAAATAAAATTTGGTGCTGTAAATCAAGCAACGGCTCACTGTAATCAATTAAAGATTCACTGAAGAAACTTAAGCATCGGCTTTTTTATGCGAGTATCTGAACACACTTCTGAAGCGCTCCACAGGCAGTCAATCAAAGCATCTCTGTTTACAAAAACACACTGGTGTGAGAACAGGGATTACTGTGTTTTCTCAAAGTTCTCAGAGCTACCATTTGTATTCTATCCTTATTTTTTCTCTCTCTATCATTAATCAAGCCGCTTTTAAACATGTAGGGAGGAAAATGTGTGTGTGAGAAAAGAGTCCTCATTACTCCAGGACGGGCTGGAGGTCAGGATCTGGCAAAGTTTGCCTCTTAATTGGAAGATGGGCCTAATTAAGCCATCTAGAGCGAGTGAGAGGACACTCTTTACTCCAGTCAAGGATATAATGGCAGGCTGAGAGGAAGAGAGTGTAAATACACTTGTTTTGACTTTCAAAGCCCTGCACAAAGATCGCAGGCTGCTGGTGGCAAAATTGACAATTGAACAAATGGACCCAGGAGAAATTAAATCAGTGGTGCTCAGTCCAGATCTTTGAGATCCACCTTCACACTGAATTTTCACACTGTTTGCAATAGAATACCAATTTACTCCTTATTGGGTCCTGCATAGTATATACACTGCACAATCTAATGAACTATTTAAAAAAGAAAATATTATATTAAATACAACAAATTAATGATTAATACTTTAAACTGTAGCAGGTTACACTACTGTCACATGACCTCATCGCACTGCATGTCTAATTCTGCAAGTGGCACCAAGTAATCTTACATGTAAAACTGGTTAATTATAGATGTGCAAAACTAGAATTATGCTATTTTTAACTTGACAACATTTTAAAAATACATCTCATGGTGGTATGCTCAGAAAAAAAAACATCAAATGGGATGTAACAACAAAGTGGCAAATGCAGTGGCAGTTCTGTTAACTTCTGTAAGTGGGATGAATTTTTTGACATATATATATATATATATATATAAAAATTAAACTATCAGTTTATCTATCAGCTTATTTTATTTCAGGTAACAAAAATTTGCAGTAGTATATATACTATTTATATATACATACTCACAGAGTTTTTACTACATAAAAATATATACAGTACTTCCCCATCCCCAGCAAAGTACATAGTTCTAGTTTGAAGGATGTGAATCGGGATGCAGACTTGAAAGTTGAAGCAGTTGGTTTAGAACAGGGCTGGAAGGAAACTCAGCAGGGAGGCTGATGTCCAGGGGCAGGATTAGGCAGCTCTGAATTAAATCATTTGAATGAGAGGAACCTTAAAACTTGCATACTAAGATGTGATTTTGAAACTTCAGCTGGGGTATGATTTCAAAGCACACATTTTCTAGGAATCTGACTTTCAAACGACCACTGCAAGACTCTCTCTTGAATGAAGGGAGGTTTCCGAACTCTATTTGGATCCACACTGCACTTCAAGGACAGAAGTGAAACTCACAAAAAAAAAAAAAAAACACAACACAACAACAATGAACAAATGAATGAACAAAATTATTACCTATATAACGAGGGAAAGGACACCTTAGATTTTAAGTGCAACGTTCATGCTTCACTTGTGAGAGTAATGCTTAACAAACGGAATTTGGACAGCTCCTAAATCCCATATTCCCCTGCTCTAAATGGACCAGAAACCTCTTTCTGTTTCCTTATTAAAGTAGCTAATTGCGTTTTGTCTCATTCCTTCAGTGGCTCCTCTGTGGACGCTGCATTTAAACAAATGACCCACGTTCTCCCAGCAAATGGGCTACTATGATTTATTCATAGGCACCGGCTGCATTTAGCCAACAACCTTCACTGGCTGACCAATTAATCCAGACGACTGGGAGTTAAGTCTTGACAAAAAAAAAATAATAATCACAAAAAGTGTTGTTCAGAAGTAGCCAGCTAGCAGACTTCAATTATATAATATAAAGTTGTCTATCTCACTTCACCCACAAACAATTATGTGGCAATCACATGACCGTTTGCACAGGTTTTTAATATGAACATGTTCCTCTTGGTTTAAATAATGCATGCCTTATGCATGAGTTATACAGGTTCGCGTTTTACATCTGAAAAGCTCTTTGTCTCATTTGATGGTGTTTCTCGTACTATTAGGGTCTGTAAAGGGGCAAAATTAAGGGGGCAAATAAATACCGCACATTTAAGCTTTTGGTGGAAAACCCAGCGTCAACTTACATAAATTCACCTTTGCATTTCAGGCACTGTTTCCATGGCTTGTTTAATTCTGGTTTAGTTTATATTCAGTGTACTATGTACATATATGGCACATCCATAAACACCAATAAATATCTGACATAATTTTCTACACTGCAAAGTGTCCTAACTGACCGACCGTACGGCCAGAGAATAGCAAGAAAGTCCATTAAAGCGATGAATGGGTTTTATGGAGACTGCTCATTATAGTGCCATTTTTCCTCTGTGGAGAGATCAGCGACAATGATTTCCTGTGCCTTTTGAATAAGGAAAGGTCAATGGGTTAATATCTAGCTATCTTTATTGTCCTCAAATTCTCATATCTCTCAGTGAAGGACTGACCAGTCTGTCCGATTAATCATTGATTCAATGTCCTCCATGCTTCAAGTACAGCGGTCGCTGCTGCTGCAGCTGTTTTTGGTTGGTATCACCGTTTCTGAAACTCTACACTAAGTACTAGAGATGTGCACAACTAATTGACTAGTTCTGCACCAACTGGTCAACTAGTAAAAACATTATTTGAATGTCTGAAATTGATTTTTATTGTATGCCTATACATAGTTCGTTATAAATTTTGTGTATACATCATTTTTCAAAATGTCTGTCTCTACTAAACCTACCATTTTTTTAACACAAGGTCAACATAAGATAAACAAACATCACATGACCTAAATATTCCGCTCAACTCTGCACCAACGCTCATTGAAAAATGACTTCCTGTTGCTGCATTTTACTGTGTGTGAATATCCCATAACAAGTGATGTATTGTTATTTATCCAGCTGCTCTATATTGTGTATTTACCTCCCGGGTCCTTGTCTGGATTGTACTCTAACGCATTGCCGCAAATGAGGTCAATGTCCACTAGAAAATCCTTGGCGACCATGTATTTGTGAGAGTCGATCTTCATCATGATGGTGGACAGGTCCATAGGCTGTTTGATAACCTCGAGGTAGTCTGAAACCTAAATCAGAAAAATACACAAACACATTTCACAAAAAATTTTTTTTAATTTAATTAATTAATTATAAATAATTATTTTTTTTTTAGTAAAAACTAATTGTTTGGTAAAATTTTTTTTATATACATTTATTTATATTATATACA